AGAATCAGGGACGCTGTCTTGTTTGCCAAGGCATCAAAAATCAGATGGGCCGGACACATAGTGCTATTTAGAGATGACTGCTGGACTAGAGCTGTTACCGACTGGATTCCACAAAAGGGACATCAAAAGGACATGTGGCTGCCCACCTACGAGATGGTCAGACTTCTTCGTCAAAATCCTGAACAAACAGTTTGAGGTTCTCTTCCCCTTAAGATCAGGGATGAGACAAGGATGCCCACTCTCTCCACTACTGTTCAATATAGTACTGGAAGTTCTTGCAATAGCGATTAGACAAAAAAAAAAGATATTAAGGGCATCCAAGTAGGAAAGGAAGAAATCAAGCTCTCACTATTCACAGATGATATGATACTATACTTAGAGAACCCTAAAACCTCTTCCAAGAAACTCCTAGAAACAATAGATCTGTATAGTAAAGTTGCAGGCTATAAAATCAATACACAAAAGTCCATGGCTTTCCTATGTGCAAATAGTGAGAGAGAAGAAAATGACATGAGGAAAACAATCCCGTTCACAACTGTGCCCCAGAAATTCAACTACCTAGGAATTAGCTTAACTAAAGAAGTAAAGGACCTGTACAAAGAAAACTACAAAGCGCTGCTTCAGGAAATAAAAGAGGACACAAGGAAATGGAAAAATATCCCCTGTTCATGGATCGGGAGAATTAACATTGTCAAAATGGCAATACTTTCCAAAGCACTGTACAAATTCAATGCGATCCCTATTAGGATACCCATAACATTCTTCAAAGAACTGCAGCAAACACTCCTGAAATTTATATAGAACAATAAGCCCCCACGAATAGCTAAAGCAATTTTTGGGAAGAAGAAAATGGGAGAAATCAACCTCCCTAACTTCAAACTCTACTACAAAGCAGTAATAATTAAAACAGCATGGTACTGGAACAAAGGCAGAGCTGCAGACCAATGGAATGGGGTTGAATATACTGACATCTCCCCCCAAACATATGGTCACCTAATCTTTGATAAAGGAGCAAGAAATGTGAAGTGGAGTAAGGAAAGCCTTTTTAACAAATGGTGCTGGCAAAACTGGATGGCTACATGCAAAAAACTGGGCTCAGATCTCTGCCTAACACTATGTACAAAAGTAAGATCAAAATAGATTAAAGACCTCAACATCAGACCGGAATCCATAAGGTACACTGAAGACAAAGTCGGCAAAACCCTCCATGACACTGAAGCTAATGGTGTCTTCAAAGATGTCATGCCACTAGCTAAGCAAGTGAAAACAGAGATAGGCAAATGGGACTATATTAAACTAAGAAGCTTCTGCACCTCAAAAGAAACAGTGACCAAAATAAAAAGACAGTCCACAGAATGGGAAAGGATATTCGCCAAATACACATCCGACAAGTGGTTGTTATCAAAGATATACAAAGTACTGGTTGAACTCCACAAGAAGAAAACATCCAACCCTATCAGAAAATGGGGCGACGAAATGAACAGAAACTTCCTCAAAGATGAAATCCGAATGGCTAAAAGACACATGAGAAAATGCTCTACATCATTAATCATCAGCGAGATGCAGATCAAAACAACAATGAGATATCATTTCACACCACAGAGATTGGCCCATATCCAAAAGAACAAAAACAACCTGTACTGGTGCAGATATGGCGAGAGAGGTACCTTCCTTCACTGCTGGTGGGAATGCCGACTGGTTCAACCCTTCTGGAAAACAGTATGGACAATTCTAAAAAGACTAGAAATTGAGCTATCATTTGACCCAGCAATACCACTCCTGGGAATATACCCCAGAGAGGCAAAAAAGTATAGTTGAAGCGACATCTGCAATTGTCCGTTCATTGCAGCATGTTTACAATAGCTAGAATCTGGGTGCCCGAGAACAGAAGACTGGTTAAAGAAACTTTGGTACATCTACACAATGGAATACTATGTAGCTGTCAGAAAGGATGAAGTCATGAAATTTGCATACAAGTGGTACTACATGGAAAGTATCATGCTGAACAAAAAGAGTCAAAAGGGAGGGAAAGACATAGAAAGATTGCATTCATCTGGGAAACATAAAGTAACAAAATAGGAGACTAACACCCAAGGATAGCCGAGATAAATACCCGGAGGTTTATTCCATGACTTGGAGGACAGCTTCACACTCTATTGGTAAAGGCAGCCCAGATGTAGAAGGGAGCACCAAATGCGGGGTATTGGGAGTATCCTCCCAGGATGGGAGAAGCATGCTGAGACTAGACTCTAGACCAAACATGTTGCCACTCGATGCCTTTTTTGCAGGCCACGTACCCAAAAGGAGAGAGAGAACAAAAGAGAGTGCCATATCACAGAGGCAGGGTGGGATGTGGGGATGAGGGGGATGGGAGAGGTACTGGGATCAGTGGTAGTGGAAAATGGGCACTGGTGGAGGGATGGGCACTCAATCATTGTACAACAGAAACTCAAGCACAAAAATTTGTAAGTCTACAACTGTACCTCATGGTGTTTTACTAATTAAAAAAAAGAAACATAGTAAAAAAAACATTTTGAGGCTCTTCGTGTTCCTGGAGTGAGCAGATGCCATTGGGCTACACTAGCATGCGACAGGGATGAATGGAGTCGTTACTGGCGCCTGCTCGAACAAATCGAAGATCAATGGGATGACAAGTGATACAAGTGAGCTCTCACACAAAGAGACATTTTTAACTCAGCGGACAGAAAGTACCCCTAGATTGATGTAAGAGGGAGAATTTCAGGAGCAGAGAAGATAATAAACAAAAACCCCAAGGAGAGAATAATTCTCATGGATTTGAGAAGAACAAACAAGATCAGAGTTGCTAAATTACAGTGAATTTGATATTTTAGAATTATTGAAAGATTGGAGTAAAAATTCAGGGTTTAAAGATTTTGCCAAAGAAAACAGGAGAGAGAGAGAGAGAGAGAAGAGAGAGAGAGAGAGAGAGAGAGAGAGAGAGAGAGAGAGAGAGAGAGAGAGAGAGAGAGAGAGAACCAAGGATAAAGATGTAGAGAAGCAGAAATCATGGTAGGGAGAGAGGTCTCAAAGGAAGTTGGTAAAGATAAGGATGTGTTCTCAAACATTAGAATAATGCCATTGGTAGAAGGGGGTCAAAAAAGGGAGCTCAGATAGAGAAGGCAGCACCAAATAAAGGGTGTTGGGAGGATCCTCCCAGGATGGGAGAAGCATGCTGAAAGTAGACTATAGACCAAACATGATTGTTACCCATTGCCTATTTTGCAAACCACAACACCCAATAAGAGAGAGAGAGAACAAAAGGGAATGCCCTGCCACAAAGGCAGGGGGGGGATGGAGGGGATGGGGGGTGGGAGGGATACTGGGATCCGTGGTGGTGGGAAATGGACGTTGGTGGAGAGATGGGTATTTGATCATTGTATAATTGAAACCCAAGCACAAAAATTTGTAAGTCTACAACTGTACCTCATGATGTCTTACTAATAAAATTTTTTTTAAAATGCTGATAAGGAGTCTTTGACACCTATTTACCAGGCCATAGAAGGAAACATGCTAATAGTAACTAGTGACCTGTTGCACTCCATCAAAATATAGGTGACCAATCTGTAGAAAGGAGCAACTTGTTCAAAGACTCCAGAAGAAAAATGACAAGCCTGGCCAGGAGCTACAGCACACTCTCACATTGCCTTAGTTCAGTTTCTTATTGTTTCTCATGTACACTCTTAAAATAGTCTCGAATTATTTTTAAAATGCTGTTGTACATTGTGAACATTGTGATGGACTAAAGATTAAGGTTAGTTGAAACCAGTCAACCACGTATAGGTCTTAGAGGCAGGTGAACTATTAGGTTGGGGCTGTCTGGTGAGAATGGTGTATATAGTCTAGAAGAATTTAAGCAACTCACGCGCTAGACCAAGTAACCCAGCTGAGTATCCCAAGATCCAGATCTAGTTCAGATGAAACTGTGAAAAGGGCTCACACAGATAAGATATCCCTTCCTTCGTAGTCACCCTCATGTGAATGAGGTTAAGTTGAAGGAAGTCAATAAGGTGGGACCTTTAGGATGAATATTTAAATCAGGCACTCTGGTTGCCTATAATAATTAGTTAACAACGGATATGTAAAGACATTTCTGAGGATCAGGCTCAGTTGAGGTTAGAAAGCATTGCTTTAGGGTGGCCTAGTTTCCATGGTTTCCTTTCTCATGCAGCTTTGGGAGAGGGAGCAGAGAAAACTAATTGTTATCTACAATGAGTCCAGGGTAAGAAATAGTAACATGATGTTAGAGGCTACTATATATTTTCCCCCATGCCACAGTTCTGTAGAAAAAAGGGAAAGATTGTAGTTCAAATTGAAATGTGTTACTTTTATATATGAAAAACATTGCAATAATTCAATCACATACAATTTAAAAGATTGTCAAAAAGTAGAAGGAAGATTTTAAATTAGAAAGTTAACAATAATGTATATTTAGCTCTGGTTTTAAAAGAAATATGAAAATATTGGACCATTTGTTATAGTGATTTGGGCTCTTGTCTAGAAAGCATGTGCTTTGGAGACCAAGAACGTACAAATAAATAGTAATGGTATAACACAAATTTCAAATTTTTTGAGTGACACATTAACAATGTGAAGTTTTCCACTGACTGATATTTTAATGCCACACCCCCAACAAACCTATAATTAAAGTTATTTTGGCATTTTCATCTCAAATCCCTGCTTTTGGGGGGTGGGCGGGTTACAATTCCACTTCAAAAATGAGCTTCCAGATACAATTTGACAAAAAATACAAAGTCTTATCCTAGCAACAATTTCCTTTCTATCCTTCTATCACAAGATATAGCAATGGGTGGCTTGTCAGTTTTCTAAGCCACAAAGGCATTTAAAAAAGGAAATGGAACCTTTTTTATTTGTGTTTGTTGACCACAGTATATATGTGAGGACTAAAGTCTGGCTACAGTATAATCCATAAAAATGTCAAAGGCCTTAGAGTTTATCCCAGATAGTGCTGGGAAAAGATAGTGTCCTGGAAGCACATATACTAAAATTGGATACAGAGATGATACAGAGATGATTACCAAGGACCCTTCACACAAGGATGACACACAAATTCGTGAAATGTTTCATATTAAAAAAAAAAAAGTCAAGGTAACTGAACAGGAATCATCTCTTTTTTCACTTACTGCCCCTTTCTCTTCATCTTTTAAACCCATAAATTTTATATGGAAGTTTAATAATTTCTTTTCTGACTCATTTATTTTTACATAGATATAAATGCTGCACATGATGTACATGCTATGTGTAGATACAGACATGCATAAATATTTTTCTCTATTATGACTGATCTTCTGATTTCCAACACGAGGGAATAAAATCTCTTGAAGAGACATCCTTGGCTTTTTCCTCCCTCCCCTGAAAATGAATGCTGGCCTCGGAGGGGGAAGCTTTAGCTGCTTCTGAAGCATGGAGTTAAATTCTTCACTGGAATTCAGAAAGTAAAAAGGAAAGTGCTTGGGAAAAACCCTTCTGCTGAGGTGGGGGGTCAGAGAAAGGCCATTCAATTCTTGCAAGAAGGTCATCGGGGCAACGGGAGGGGTCATGGGCCCGGGGATCATTTGAAGAATGCCATCCTTTAAGTAGGTTTTAGGCATCTCACTGGTTGGGAAACATCAATATAATCTTTCCTGCACAAACCATTCTAGGAAATACCTCCTCAGACATTTTATAGTTCATGGTGGGGGTGAAAGCAAAAACTGGGACTATTGATTCACATCAGAGTTAGGCTGATTCAAACATAGAAATCCTTTCTGGAACTCTTGGTTCACTGATGTGTTTTGCTTTTTCTTAAGGGAGATTTTTTTGGGGGGAGAGTGGAGAATGCTTTTCCACTTTTAAAGAAAACCATTAAAAAGACCTTTTTATTAATGTTAATCTTTATGTAAAGTAATGCTTTATGCTTTAGGAAGGCTACATTGCTGTGTCATACTCACCATGCCAATATCCCTCACCATTTTTCTTACCTAACTCTTTCCCTCTCTCCTTCCCAAGCTCATGCAATCTGATTTCCTCAGAAAGAGCAAAGCCTGACCCTCAAATACTTCCAGAGGTTTTCTTGCTCCCGCTTCAAAATTTAAAGTCCCCCAGTGTCACTACAACATAGAAATGCGAGAAGAAAGGAGCTGCCCCCTCAGGGACTACCATCGAGCTAAATGCAGTGTTACTTAATGCAGTTCTTGATAAATCCTTATGGCAAATTAGAGGTTTCCTGTTTCTCCAGTCGGCTGGCTATAAGATGTTGGGAGGTGTTGGTTTTTTTTTTCCTCTTCCCTTTTCTTTAACGCACAGCTCTTAAGAATTTGTAGCTATGTATTTTTAATACTGTCAATAAACAGCTTCCTCAAGACTCAGAGGGGCAATAATGGAAGCTGTTAACAAAGTGTGAAAAGCAACGGCTAGCAAAGGTTAATCACATGGCTGCCCACTAATGACCTCTACAGCCCTCCGTTTAAACCCAACAGCACTTGTAAAGACCAATCACGTGAATAATTTCCTGTCTGAGGTAGCCTTTATGGTTCGGAATAAAAGCAGAGCTGATTGTGAATAGAAAGACCCCGGCAGGGGAGGTGGTTATTATTTCTAAGCTGATCTAAACACCTGGGTTTCCCACTGGACCCTATTAAACTTTCTTCATTATGTCTAAATATTTCAATCATTTCTACAGCCGTTGTGAATTACTGCATGACTAAGGTAGGCAAGAACGAGGGGAGGGGGCAACTATGTTGAGAGGGGGCTAGTCAAGGGCTCCGTCCTCAAGGTGACAGTCAGGTAGGGCAACTCTCCAACTCTGGAATGGGTTCTGGTTGCAGGCATTCCTCCTCCCGCAGCTCCTTGCTCCTGCCCTGCCTCAGGAAGACCACACGTAAAGCCATTCAGCCCCCCAATTTTGTACTATTTAGAGGTCTCTAGATGAGGAGATTCCTTAGCTTTCCCTGGTAACCCATCATTGTTTAACGACCATCACTATCTGTCCTCACGAGTTTGCCCGTATAAAGGACTTAAGTCATTTCTGCTCTGTCTTTGGGTGGCTGGATTTGGTTAATGCTCCCCCTGCCATTTTATTATAGATTTGGTTAAACATTACTCCCCTTGCCATCAAATTGCCGTCTTTGAAGATTTTATTTTCCACCTCCAGCATATAGGCATATTTAAGTGAAGAGTCATGATTAAAGCTTTACCTAAGAACAATGGGCAGTTTTAGGCTCACGGCAAGGGCTAGATTTAAAAGCAGTGTTAAGGCTTTAGCTTCCAATCTGGTACCTAGAATGTAGGTGGTCCTTCGGGTTGGGGGAGGGGAGACGCTAAGCAATGCTTCATTGCTCTCTTTTTCTTTCACCATTGCTGATTTTTAAAATATCACTCAAATTCCATTATATCATTCATGTAAATCTTTCCCAAGTTGTATCATGTGATTTCCAAAAGAGCAGCATACATTGGAGGCATAAGAGCAGGACACTCAGATCTAAGATGCAATATTGCCTTTATTACTTCATGACAGAGTTTTTGTATCAGCTGCATATCCGAAAAGTAATACATGCTTCTTGGACTTGTAAGAAAAAAATGAAGTTATTCTGTCCCTGAAAGGTACAGTCTCTGAGTATATGCGAGTTCTTGTCAGTTTATTCTTCATGAGTGTCTCTGAATCCAGTATGGTCTCTCATATTTGATAAATATCAGCAGGAAAGTTCAGAGGGAACATATTAGAATAATTTGGTTCCACGTAGCACACAACTTGAAAGCATTCAAGGGAGTGATTTGCCGTTTTGCCTGGGCAATCAGCAGGAAAAGTTCAAAAGAAATGTGGTCTCAAAAGTACCTAGAAACACACTTTCCCAAGAGGGTCACCTGGACACTCTCTTTCCTCTTTTCCCCGGGGCTGTCAGCCATATTTTTTCATACCAATGTTTTTAGGACATGACATGTGACCATTTCACGTTTCTCAAACCGAAACCTTCAGTATTTCCATTACAGAGGGACCAAGTGTCTCTGAGCTCAGGTAGAAAATCGTGAAGTAGGGATTCAGATGGACTCAGATGGATTACATGCTCATTTCAAACCTATATCCTGAACTTGGGTATGGGGAGGAAGAATTGTGATAGCCACTTTAAAAAAATGACAGTCATAATTGAAGCCACGTTTTAGAATAATAAATAATAATTATATTATTAAATATAATAATAATAAACAGTCATAATTGAAGCCATGTTTTAGGGTTCTGGGCAACAGAATAGGGACCCCCTTCATTAGCATCCTTAAAGAACCCTTTTTTACCTATACCTTAATTGCCATGGAGGTGTTATGAATATCTTCATGCATAACACATGACAGAAAACCTTGACAGAGGATTTAAAAAGTGTTCAAAATGTTTCAATTTCTCCAGAGCCCAGCAAGCTACCAAGAATATCTCCCCCACACGGCAGAGCCTGGCAAACTCCCTGTGACATATTCGATATGCCAAAAACAGTAACATCAAGTCTCACAATGGAGACGTTACTGATGCCCACTCTAGCAAATCGATGAACAATGGGAGGGCAGTGACAGTGACAGTGACTATCTTCTTGGAGTGTTTCTTCAATTAACAATATGATTGCAATATTTTCTATAATGAATAATTTTGCTTTCTTTTTGCCTAGTCATCAGGTATTCTTTTAAAAATCAACAACTTAGAACAGTCTATTTGTGCTTCACAACTTTTAGTCGGTCACGGTCATGGTTCTCCCATTGTTCATTCATTTGCTCGAGTGGGCCCAGTAACGTCCTTTTTGTGAGACTTGTTGTTACTGTGTTTGGTATATCGAATATGTCACGGGGAGCTTGCCAGGCTCTGCCATTCGGGCGAGATACTCTCGGTAACTTGCAGGGCTCTCTGAGAGGGGCAGAGGAATTGAACTCGGGTCGGCCATGTTGGCTACGTGCAAGGAAAACGCCCTACCCGCTATACTATCACTCCAGCACATGATATGTAAAAATTGAGCAAAACATTTTTACACAAGATCAAAGTTCTGTCTGCATTTCAGGTCTGGTGACTCCCTGACTGCCCATGTATTTCTTCCAGGCAACAGAAGACACAGTTCAATCACAAGGCACCCTTGAAAGTCAATATCCTCTTGTCAACCTGCTCTGTGAGCTGGTATAGAGGTTGGGAGGGGTGTTCCGGGAAACCTTTCTTACATTGGGACCTAGCAGTTACATAACTACACTTTGTACTTTGTCCCACCAAGCTCAAAGAAAATATGCTCCCATCTCCATTCCTCACTGATACCTATGGGGAACGTGATGGGGGAAACCAGAACAGAGAGGCACAGCAGTGCTGATTGCTGTCGAAGTGGCTCATATTTGTAAATTTTACAAAAACACAGCCACGTGAACTGGCACTGCAGTCTCTGGTGGAGTTCTTGCAAAGGAGGGCCCTTCAAGCTCCAAATTCCTCAGTTGGAAGGGAGGGATACCTTCCAACTCAATCCACAAGGTAGGTTCTTGGCCCTACCATAATTTATTGTTCTTTTTCCTTTAAGCATGTTTTAAAATTATATTAAGCATATATATATATCCTACCCTGTGCCTGACTGTCTCCACCAGGGCCCAACAACTGAAGACCACCGGGGCCCAGCCAAGGCCATGCTGGGACCACTCTCCACACACTTGGATGAACCTCACGCATAAAAGAACTGGCAGAGGAACCCAGGTGTGTGGGACCCGGGGCTGAGATCTCCAAGCCTGCACGGTTTGGGACTGGACCTGCCAGTAACTAGACAGTTACACCCACCAACTGCCGTGTAACTCCAACAACGGCCAGGATCCAGAGATTATCACACTCAGCTCCCAGAATGATAAGATGACATCTTATCATCTCATTCCTACTTTAGACAAACTGGCAGGCTACCAAATGTAACCTGCCCACACGGCAGAGTCTGGCAAACTCCCCGTGGTATACCCAATATGCCAAATACCAGTAACAATGATGGGTCTCATTCTCCTAACCCTGAAAAAGCCTTGAATATGACACTTTTAAAAAAAAATCTCAGGGCTAGGATGAAGAAGACGTTACTGGCACCTGCTCGAGGCAATCGACGAAC